AAAAAAAAAAAAAAAAAAAAAAAAGAGGAGGAAAAGGAAAAGAAAGGAAAAACAACTGAAAATAAAGTTTGGGCTCCATTTTACACCACGTCTTTGCATCCAGCAACAATTGCATCTAATTTTCAATCAATTAAAGAACTAGAATGAGCCGAAACAAATAAATAAATTACCTTCTGCCACTCTACGTAATGTCCATTAATCCGATAGCTCGGACCTTCAGGTTGAACAATTTGAAGAGATTTCACATCGCTTCTATCCACACCGCCTCTTGTTTCACCAGGTGTATAGTTTCTCAGTGGATCAGCTGGAGGTAAGGGAACTAGCTTACGGTCTTCAAACTCAATTACTACCATGTTTTGCATATCAACTAGTACATGTATCCCTTCAACAGGCCGGGCATATCCATTTTCCAGCGGGCAGTCGCTCTCTGTTCGGCAAAAGATAAGTGGTTTCGCAAGCCTACGCTTAGGGGCATCAGCCTCACTATGGTAACCAACACACCTGCAATAGGCATTTGTCAGCAGCAAGACCTTATGTACTTAATAGGCATTATTACCGAGCACATTGATTGGGATTTTACTAACCAAGGATCAACCATTACTAGATCCATATCGTCAATGCCCCTCCTCTTCATGGCTTCTATAAAAGGAGGGTAATCCTTGACAACAGCTTCGCATTCAGCATATTCTGCAGCATCCTACATTTGATAAAAATGAAGGAATAGGTTTATATGAGAATTTCAAGCTAGAGGATGTTATATCATCAATGACCGAAACAACTTGTTGAATTATAATAAGCATCCATTTGCAGAAATACCATTGGTGGCTGAACATCGGGGACAACTGTAGAAGAAATCACTTTTCCCCTATGATGGCCCCCTCGAGTTGTAGCATGTACTTCAGCCAGCTCAACAATCCACACGCTAGTTTCGTTGGACTTTTTGTTGTAGACTACTAATCTAGCTCTCCTTGGAGGGAGTTTACTAGGAATTAACGGTCCTCCTTTCGTCCTAGGCAATAATGAGGGCTGAAAAGGGGGAAAGAAATAGGCATCGGCTAGTGCCACCACATTTTTATCTGGCTCAAGTAAAACCACTTCAATAAACCGCATGCTATCTCTGAGCTGGAAGGAGAAGAAGATATCAGTTACTCGATTTGGTGATTGCACACATATCATATTCTAAATGAACAAAATGAGTGAAAGGTACTTATGAACCTCAGGGGTGGCTCCAGCTGCCCTTACTGTTCCCACGGCTACGGAGATTTCAGCACCAGATAAAGGATCCAAAGGATGCTTAGTTTGAGCCCTTGGCATTAGCTGGATCCCTGAGTAAGTATGGATTTAGGTAAAACAGTGTCTTCTACAAAAAGTCAAATTGAAAGTAGATGAAACATTTTACAGAGGATCATCCATACTCTAATTCTTTCAATTAAACAATAAAGAAAAAGAAGGACAGGAAAGCCCATATCCACAGCTACTTACTAAACATCCCAGGGATACCAGTAATGAACAACTTAAGCGATAAACAAGTGAGATCCGGTTTAAAATAAGCTCCATCCTACTAGTGACACAGAGAACACTTACTGAAAGAATATGATAATGACAAATCCATCACAGAAAGCAAACCCAACATCCATGTGTTTTCTTTTTAACCACACCTGGATTTGATTGATCATACTGGAATATGAAAATTGTTATCATGGTAAAGTAATATTTCAATTGTCAAGACAAGAAAGGACCAATTGTTTTCACGTTGTTTGATAGCATAACAGAGTTTGGTGCAAAAGCCGGGAGGAGACTGTGCAATAAACCTGCATCGAGGTCAGTTTATACACCTCACTCAGAGAATGATTCCTTCTAATGTAGCTGATGATCAGGCATTTTCCCACATACCAAAAGTTCTAGGAACAAAAGAAGAAACTTTGTTTCCCCTCAAGCCAAGGTTCACTTTTTTTTTTTTTCCTGCCAATCATGATCATTCCAGGTGCTTGCGGTGCTCTTTTACACAGCACCTGCTGTATTTAACTTAACATGATCAAATGGTGGGGGATCAAATACAGCAGGTGCTGTGTAAAAGAGCACGGCAGACACCCCCAACTCAAAGTTAACAATAGTTCTATTATAGTTGACAATAAACAATAAATTACACACAAGTATTAAATGCACAACACACCTTTCCAACACAAGCAAATAATTTAAGGAATCAACCTCAGAGCCATAGGCCCATAACAAAAGAAAGCAGGAAGCTTAAATACCAGCAACAAAAACAGCTGAAAGAGAGAGCTAAAACAAAACCTTTAGTCGGAGCTTTAGTAGAAGGATCGACTAGCATCAAGGACGCCAAATTCTTGCTCTGCAGATCTTCAGCGGTAGACGGGACGCCCCAATCAGGGGCTGAAGCATTCTCACGGCGGACGACGGCGGCGGCGGCTGAATCTTCGGCGGCTGTGGGTGCGAAGCTAACAGAATTCTGCGCTTCTTTCGGAGCTGCGGCCATTGCAATTGATCGGCAAGCTCACCGGATTCACCACCGCAAAGCGCGTCGCAGTCCACTGATATACAGCAAGTACTGGAACTCCTCGCACCACCACCGGTTGAAGCACCAGCAACTACGAGGCCACCACAGGTAAGTAGATACAGAATCCTGCTTGTATAGGTGCAGAAAGTGATCACTAGCGACAAAGTGTAAGGTAGAGACAAGGCTATGTGTCTGTAGACAGGAGAAGGAATCACGGAAAAGGAAAGATAAAATCAGCAACAGTATTGGTCATTTTTGTAAATTTCATATTTTGTATGGGTTGATCACTAAATATGACACGAAATTTAGCCAAGCAACAACCATTTTGTCCCTAACCGAAAGAAGAACCAAA